CTCTCCCCTAGCAAACATGGTTCGTTTGAGGCCCTCACTTCTCCCTGCCTTCTCACACTCTTAATTGAATAGTAATTTTGTGCATGTGACACTTTCATACTGTATAGCTGGCAAGGGAGTTGTGATAGATGTTGTATAATGAAAAGCCCCTATACTCTATATACTCTATACTGTATATAGAGTATATACCCTATACTCTATATACTCAAAAGCCCCTATGTTCATAAAAACACTATAATTTTTATAATTTGCAGTTGATAAAAGTACTATAAATAATTTGCTCTTAAACTACATAAAGACTCCATGAGTCATCTGGAATGGTGTGGGGAGATGTCTACAGAATTTCATCAGGAAAGAAGAAATCAGTAAAATTAAGGAGGAATGCTACTTTATATCATCCCATTCCTTGGGCCTTTTAGCTGTTACTGCTAATTTGATGTAATCTAAAATATTCTTAATTATAAAATAAAGATGAACTTATTGATTAGATTCACACATCCTGATGAATCATAATGTGGCTTATTTAGCTTTGACTTAGTGTGTTGTAAACTTAATCCCTGTGGTTTGTGAACTATGGTTTATAGCTTAGTGTTATGTCAACCCAGGCAATTATTCACTACATCATAAGTAAGCAATTAATGCAATGTGCAAATTTGGTCGTTGGTGTTGATCATAACCTATTGAGTGGATCAGAAAATAGGAAAGTTTATTTTATAAAATGACAACTGTAGTATCACCTAAAAAAATAACCAAACATATTTCTATACATAACTAGCAATTCATGATTGAGAAATTTCTTAGTTACTAACTTAATGGTTGCTCTTCAGGACAGGAATACTGTATAATACAGTACAGTAGAGGAATGGTACAGAAATAAAATGATTATCATCTTTGATGTTGAGTCTTCTGGAACCCTGAGTGTCACTGACACATTTTTTAGAAGTAACATTTTGAAATACTTTTTTTCTCTCTATTTATCCCAGTGCAGAATTAAAGAATAGTGATGATTCAGAGTTGTTTTATGTGTGATTGGTGTCAACTCATCACTCATTAGAAGTTTTTTTCAGTTTTATCTGCGGTGTATAGAGTGAACATTCAGGAGTCTTCCCTGGGACAACAGTTTTCAGCTTGACATTCTAAGGACTTCTAGCCTCGTAGTTAAATGCCAATCAATAAAATTTTTGCTACTTGAGTCTCACTTACAACAAGGATAAGTAGTGGTGCTTCTTCTTCTTGCCAAATGTTTTATCAGTGTATGTGTCAAGCCATTCTACTCATATATAGATGTTCAAAAAACATGGTTTTAAACATTCAAAATGGAGATCTGCCGTTATAGTAAAATTGAACACTTCCACCATTCCATTTTTCTTTCTATATTCTTCTTGATGTACTTTGTTTGGTAAATTGAGGACAACCCCTGCACTAGATTATGCCTTGATCACCACTTGGAAATAGCAGTGGCTTTTGCTACAGACTCCTTCTTCCCTAGCCATTGGCCATGCTAACTTGAACTGATGAGGGTTGGTTCAAGACATTTGGACCACAGCAGATTGCTGGCCTTGTTCTAGTCCTGCACAGTTCTTTTTATTATTATTTTTTTCACAACCCTTTTAGCCAATAAAAACACAATTGGCTTGCTGAATTTCCTCCATTTTAGTGGCACACCCAATACCTCATATGATAATGTTACCACTAGAAGTCAGGGAGAGGAAGAGAAAGGTGTAAGAATATAGCTTATCATTTATTTCTGTAAGAAGCTGGCCTTCAGTAAACTTTAGCTAGGTTTACTGTAATTAACTGATGTCAGGTTATCAATTTACTGCATGAATAAAAGATAAAGTCTCCTTCAAATCAAACTCAACTCATGGTGACTTTGTTTTCTTGGCAACATCATGGAGGTAGTTTGCCATTGCCTTCTTCTGGATGTATTTCAACTTCCAGTTTAGCCTACATTCCTGATATTACCTGGAGATCTCCCATCTAAGTGCTAACGGTGCTCAACCCTGCTTAGCTTTTGAACCTAGACAAGGTCAGCTAGATACTGGCACCTACTGAGACACATGAACAAAGTGATTGCTAAAGTTACAAAGAGAATGTTTGCTTGTAACTTAGCCTAATCTTTAATTTTTAAAATTGCTCTGTATTCTTTTTCATTTAATAGAAGTTTATATTTCTTGGACTAGTTTTGAGATGGAATTAATCTCTAGAATAAGGCTGAAAAAGAATGGCCAGCAGGTGGCAATCACTCATAAAATGTGCTAGTAATCTGTACATCAATTCAGGCCACATTTAATACATGTAATTAAATGTAATGTTTTTCAAAGATAGGTTAAATCAAAATAATCTTAAAAGCTTATGCATTTCAAGTATTTTCAATAGTTCTACAAATCATTTTTATTTATTTTCTGTACCATGATCTATGAGAACTTTTAAGAATTAGTTGAAAATATTCTGGGAGAAATAGAGACGTGTTTAGCAGTCCCAAGCTTGGCATTTCAATTTTTATGTATTTGTTTTTTACATCTTTATTCGCGTTAAAGCTGAGGTTTTTAAAAAACAACTTTTTTCTATGTGTAATTACTAAAATTCTGTTCAAATTGTTTTTAACCGTGGTGGAAACTGATATACAAATCTACAAAGACTTTGAATAGCATTTTCCCCCCTTGTAAATCAAGTATTCTGTGGCTTGGCATGATGCTCTGATTCATACTAATTTCCTTGGATATATATTAACTATGTTTAATTCTTGAGTAAATTCATTCTGGTTCCCCCTGGAAGTGTCTGCCTTCAGTGTACATACCGTCTGGCCAAAAGTGTTCAAATTTAGCGCAACTGATGGACCACAGGCTTGGGAGGACTACACCAATATCAAGGCTGGAATGAGGAAAGCCTAAATTCAAAAGTAAAAAGATTACTTAGCGATCGATGTATCCTTTCAATTTAACCTCCCTATTATATGCGTGAATATAAAATTAAAATCTTTTCATTCCTGGCTTCATGCACCAATTGGTTATGTGGAAAGGGATAATTCCAGTGAGCCTGTCCCCTAATCTGTGTACATTTGAGTGAAGGTGTTCCTAGTCACAACGATAGGATGTCCTGACATATAATCCTTCCTTAGTTTTTCCCCCTACATATTGGAGATTATATGTAACTTCTTTATATTTTAGGAGGTTTGGAATGATTCAGCGGTCTTTATTTGCCAGTACTTCTGATTTCTGTAGTATATTCATTGCCTGCAATAATACTGAAGGAAATCATCTGCATCTTGTTATGGATAGCACTTGTGGTAAATCTGTTTTGATGCACATTTAAAAGAATGTCTGAGTTCTTGTTCTTTTGACATAAGACTGAAAATAATATGCGGTTCTTTATTGACATCAAACAAGTCTTTTCTTAAGTACTGCGGGTATTTGTGCAGCATCTACTTAAAATGATAAAAGATTTTTAAAATGTGGTTTGAACAGCTTCAGCTTTCACTGGTTCATCTGTACCATGATCTGTCTTATACAGTGTACATGTACATCATAATAATTGGGCTGAATTGGATCTACCACAGTCCTGTTAACTGGTATGTGTTTCTGAATTGTTAATTAGGGATGCATGACAGTTTGGTGGAACTGGGTCACTTACAAAATCTCTTCCTCTTCCCCCCCCCAAACAGCTGCAGAAATACAAAGAGTACTGAATCAACTTGGAACCCCACAAGACACTCATGAATTGCGGCAACAGCTGTAAGTGCTTCATGAGATGACCTTTCATTTAGTTGCATTGTAGATAACTTCTCAATAAGTGCTGGGGTCTTATCAAAGTATTCAGCATCTTGAAAATGTTTCAGAACAAAATGGAAGAGAGAGAGGGAGTGAGCAGTTATCTGTTTATTGACATCAAGTATATTGTTGGCATTGCTAAACACCCAGATGGTATTAGAAATGAAAAACCTATGGAGCTAATAAAAGCCACCAGATTGATTCAAAAAACTCAAACTACATGTTTGCTACCTTTAACATGTTAGATACAACTGTCACTAAATGTTGCAGTCAAAGGGCAACAAACTCAAAGGAAGATTTTGTGAGCCTCTCTATGTAAAAATACCAAATTTCTTTTGTGGCTTTTATGTCACCACTTTTTGTCAATAACATTCATTGAAATCTGCTCCAGCACTGTGCAGTTCTTTGTTCTTGGTTTGCATTGAACTAAAGCCAGGAGTTATTTTGGACACATTCAGTGATAAACATCCATTTCCCAAAGGTTTATCTTAAAAGCAGTCAACAGCGATATAGTAATGTGTGTAAAGTAACCCAGCAGGTCATCTGTAACTTTCTGTTTTAGGCAACAAAAGCAGCAATATACAAACCAACTTGCCAAAGAGACAGACAAATACATAAAAGAATTTGGAGCTCTGCCTTCAATAAGTGAGCAGGTATATGAATGTAGTGTTTGTATAAACGTTTTGTTTTTTTTAAGCTCCTGTTTTTCAGTTCTGTGGTATGTGCTTGCAAGCATTGATTCCTGAAGCAAATCCAGCAAAACATACTGAAAGAAGTTGGTGTAGTTGTCATAATTAAGAGGCCAGATATTTCTGAACTGTTTGGATTATAAACTGACTATCATTATTTTAATAAAATGGACTGTAAAAATTATGCAGTTATCCTACTGATTTTATTGGGCCTAAAATATACACAGAACTGCAATGAGTATCTGAGTGTTACGGATATGACACTCTATCTAAACTGAATTGGGGACAAATATTTGTTTTTTAGAATATGCAATCAGGTGACTGTCAATGATTTACAAAGGAAAATGTCTACAATATAGTAATATAATGATACAATTATAACAAATATTTAAAACTATCTTCAGACCACAGCACATAAACATTCACTAGGTTACTATGTTCACTAATTAAAAAGGTCTTCCAGAAGAGCTCAGTTTTTAAAAGTTGTCATTGATAAGTACTGCTCTGCATATGTGTTAAATATGAGAGGTACAAGGATGAAGATTGAAGAAACCCAAAACTCTACATACTTACTCCAAATTTCTGAAGTAGTACAAGATTTTCCTATAGTAGATTTTCCATACCTGGTGACATCCATCACAATTCCTGAATTCCAGTTAGTGCGGGGAACATATCTGGGGCATATCACTTTGGGAAAGGTTGTCTTTCAGTTTCTTTTTTGCCACATTGTTAGAATTATAGAATTAACTCAGGAGGGAGCTTTTCTTGCTGGTATACAGGAAGCACACAAAATGAAAAACATGTTTTGTTTAATGTTCAGAATAAAACACCCAAATGGAAATGTTCCATCATTTATTTTATTTGATTTTTTTGTTTAATTGGCTATGTTCTGATGCAGCAAACCTTGACATTCTTTCAGAGAAAACAAAGGAAACTTAGGACCAAGGTTGCAAAATTAGGTGAGGTGGCAGTCCATGCTGACTGCTACTGGACACCCAACTTGCTGAAACATTGGTCAATGGAGTGTTTTTAAAAACATTTTGTAAAACTTTAAAACAAATCCCCAGAGGAATCAGTGGGAATACAACTCTGTCCTTGCCTACTGTAAAAGCAATTTGTTCAGATTAGAATCTTTTATTGGCAGAGGTTCTATGGAGGTTCTAATTTCAGCAAAGAACTATTTTTAAGTTCTTTAAATAAATTCTGAGCCACTGGGCCAACATATTAACAGGACAGAAGAGTTAATCTCTCCACCGGTTTTCATTTAGCATCTCTCCTTGCCCGCAGACAAACAAATCAGGCAGATATGCACATATTATTCTTTTTTCATTTCCTGTGAGAAGTTTCCTTAAAGTTTTCATTAAAAAAGAAAAGAAAAGCAGCAGCATCCTTTGGATAGATTTTATTATTTGTTTTTTTTTTTTGTCTGTTTGTCTGTTTGATTGTTTTTAATAGCTGTGTTAAAATCAGATATCACGTTTGGCATTTTTTTCCCCTTGAACTTTATTGTGAGATTATTAGACCAACAACAATAACTGTTGCTGATGTTTTTGCTTGAGCATGCAAATGAATTGCTGTTTGGGGGGAAAAAAGGTGAGGTGTGGGGGAGTCTGCTACTGTTTCTTAACTTCAAGAATGGCATAGCAAGAAAACACAAGAGCATACAGGCAGTGCACACACACTCATACACCCCAGATCTCAGCAAAGCAGTCCAAGCTAAAGTTGTAATAGTGAACTTTGTATTTACAGAACTTTAAAAGTATTTGCAATATTGGTAGGTTAAGTACAATTGTGCACACATGTGTACCTTTGCATTACCTATCTGCTAAATAGAGCATAGTGCCATTTTCATGCCAACCCTGTGAGCTTTAACGGCGGCCCATTATCTGTGTGCACACTAAACTTCTCTATGCCATAGAATCTTTTCAAAACAGCAATAATTTACTTGGCAGACATTCTTGTGTGAGTAGTTTCATTCTGTCTGGGTAGGTGTTTAACCGTTGCGTTCTTCTCAGTATTCTCTCCTACTTCATCCTGCCTGATCTAAATGAATAGCAGTAGGGCCGTCACCTGCTGCTGTATTGGCAAGGCTGGAAAAAAAAAATTTAAAAGCCTTCACATCACAAAAAAGCCCATTGTAGAGCTTGAAATGATGATACTGTTCTGAGCTTAGAATACAGTGCTTGAAATGTGGATGTATTATTTTGAGGTCAAAACAGATGGCTGAAGGTTGAAATGTTTTGCACATCCCTCCTAATAACTATTCTCTTGGGGGATGTTTATGTAAAAGACATACAGCATAACATTTGGTTTCATTTTGTTTGTGCTGTAGATAGTCTCCTGTGTTTTTGAGAAAGGAGAAGTTAAGTTATTCATAGTTAACTCCATCCAGCATACATGTGTATTAGAAACTGACATTTGGTTTATCGGTGAATTGTATATCTCTTGCACTCCTATTTACCTGTCTACCAGATGTAGTATGTGGTACCTAAGGTAGAGGGACTAAAGAAACCCAGGTTGAAATACATCTGCTTGACAGTCCTCTTCCTGATGACTTTAGCTAGTCCTCTGCCCAACTTACCCCATACAGTTGCAGGGATAAAATTAGAAGAGATATCCATGTGCATCACCTTGAATATCTAAAAGATAGACAGGATATACATGCAGTTAGTAAATATTCTGAGCAGTGTGAGATAGGAGCTACTAGAATATGGATACCTTTTAGTAAACGTAAGCTGCAATTACCCAAAACAGATCTCTGCTTGTATCAGTTTGGTGGCCCTTAAAAGCCCTTCCCATGTCCACCCAGGTGTCTAAGCATTAGATTTCCATGCAATCCATTCAAAAAGGATTATGGGAATTTCACTGATGTGCAAAACCTTAGCATCTTTATAGGGAAAGATAACTTTCAGTGTCCAGAGATACTCTAATAATAGTTGACCTTCCCAGTGAAGGTGAAGAAATTATTTTACTTGCATTTTAATGTGAACTTAATCTCCATTTCCCTATATTCCCTAATTGGAATGTAGTTATATTCACATATCCTCATTTTTCTACATTTTGCAGTCTTGAAAAAGAATGGAACACAATGTGTATTTGGGGAATGTACATGAAAGTGAATACATTTTTTATGTGGACTTTAAAAAGAATTGCAAAGGGATACAAAATGTTAGTGATTTGGGTTTGTTGCTTCTCAGCTGCTTTGTATATTAGCTTCTGTAATGTTTGTAATTGTTTTTATTTTATTTTAATTTTGTTTGCCACCCAGAGTCACTTGTTGAGACGAGTGGCCATATAAATTGGGTGGATAAATAAATAAATATATGTGGGTCAGAAGGAACTGAACTGGAATCAACATATGTATGTATTTCTATGTACATATACTTGTTCAAACTATATACTTCATAAACCGCATAAAAAGAATTAGGGATGGATGATTGCAGAATACTTTGTTCAAGTGGCTGAATTTTTACCAGTTTGACATTCATTTAAAGAGGTAATTTGACTTCCATTGGAATGAGACATGGAATTGTATAGAGCAATTCTTTGGTGGGTTCACACATTACATTATACTGTAACATAATGGTATCTTGTGATATATGAACCCAGTCTGCGTGTAGAGGCCTGTCAAATTCCAATAATAGAAGATGAATGAAAGTAAAATTCTCCAAAGCTTCAGCAGGTTAGTTAAAGAACTGGTTTGCAGTGAAATTATTTTGATTTGCTTGTTTGTTTGCCTTCTTTGTTTAGCGTCAGAGAAGAATACAAAAGGATCGACTAGTGAATGAGTTCACCACGACACTTACAAATTTCCAGCGAGTCCAAAGACAGGCTGCTGAGAAGGAAAGAGAATTTGTAGCAAGAGTTCGAGCCAGTTCTAGGGTATCAGTAAGTATATATTAACACTTTTACTAATTGTGGAAAATAATGGAAGAATTGGAATAGATGATACCATTTTTTTAATCACTACAGTCTATGTTTTAGAGTGCATGGAGTACAGCGTTACTATTGTCTGTGTGCAGTCCGTTACTGAAATCCATTTAGGAAATGTAGCAAACGTTGGTCAAATACCAGATCTTTTAATAGAAGTCAGAGTCACAATTAATTATACATTAGATAAATAGTTTGGGACAGGAGGAAACAATAATTTTCTTATGTCCAGAATCACGCCAGCCCAAGTCAGATCTGAATACAGTGGCTTTGTAGACCTAGAAAGGAAGGTGCTCAGCCTTAATTTTATGTTAGTGGAGGTGGGGGGCTTTGCAGACAGCTGAGTAGAATAGGTGTATGGTGTGCAGGTATTTGATCTTACACTTGTCTAAGTAAATACTTACCATAAAACTCTCTGCATAATTGCATATATTAATGAATCGTTGCTTTCTGCTATTTTCTCTATGGAGTAGAAGTCTGCTTTCAGCAGGGAATCCTAAGAAGTGTTCCTGCTTCTTTTCCAAGTTATTACTGAACTTGGAGATGCATTAACTTGATCCTAATTTAGGTGAATTTAAGACTGATAGAATTTTTAATCTCTTTATCCCCTACACCCCCCCCAAAATGCCTTATAGAAGGTTGCAATAGAGGATGGAACAGCTGCTGTGGAAGGAAAGAATTAGCTAACATTGGGTCACTCTTGCACTCATCTCACAATGTTTAGATGGATTTCTCAACCATCTCTGAAGGGTTCTCAGAGATCATAGTAATCAGAAAAGATGGGAAGCTTTACTCTGCAAGTGTTCCTACTTTATATTACTATTCTAAGCAATTACATCTAACCCTATCCCAGTTCTTTTTAGTAACACATTATAAGATCTGTCTGATATCCTGGACAGACATCCATCCCTTTTTCCAAAAATAAAAAGGAAAATAAAATATTCCCAACCCACTCAGATAGCTAATCTTCAACCTCCATAGTGTCCCTTTTCTGTTTTGCTTTCATTCTCTGCCTTTTATTATCCTCCATTTTCTGTTTTTATTATCATAATGCACACATGTCCATTCCTCTTTTTAATCAGAAAGATGCTGGATATACTCTTTTTGGTCTTTTAAATTTTCAGTATTAAGCAGTAGTCTAATCATATTTATGTTTGGATTTGGGCATCACACAGTGTTGAATGCTTGCAATACACAAATGTTCTAGTATCAGGCACTAGAACCACATTTTATGGTTCCCCTGAGCTGGTTGTGTCAGGGTTTAATTTGGAACTCCAGAACTCCAGATCTGTTCTTTTATCTGATTAAGTGCTGAAATCTTGCTGATGAACAGTGAAGTAGATTCAACTCCCTTTCCAAAGTTGCAAGCTGTTATTTTTGTCTTATTTGACAGGGTGGTGCCCCAGAAGAAAGCTACAGAGAAGGGACCCTTGTATCTTGGGATAGGTAAGAAATATGATAGAACATGAAAACATTCCACTTACAGAATATAAAGGATGAAAAAAAAACCCCTGTGTTTTATTTTATTACAAATCCTTGCATCTCTAATAAGCAGACAATAGTATAACAATACTGTGTTTCAAAGTGTACTGTGATGGAAGGCATGAGCGGGGAAGGTTCTGGAATGGAGCTTCAAGGTTGCCGGGGGGGGGAGACGTTCCAGGGGAAGCACCTCCTCAGTCCCCAGCTGGAGTGTGGAAGGCCAAGAGAATGAGACTGGCCCCTCCCTAGGGCCTCATGGTTATAGTTACTGTTGTGGTGGTATAGATTTAGTCTGGCGAGATTCTCTCTATTAGTTGTAAGCTAATAAAGGAGCTAAACTGTTCTGGACTGTCTCGCTGTTGTTCTTGGGCTGAACCTGACATGCACTGAGATTTTAACTCTATATTCTGTCTTTTCAGAGTTACATTAATGATTTTTGCTCAGGGTATTAATGTGTATTGTTCAAAAGTCCCTGTTTAAATGATCCTTCTCTCATTATTATTACCTGCAATTTGGAAGACAAATTGGAAGATTGATGGGGGGAGGAGATTAATTGTGGAAGCTGAAGATATTACCTTCTTCCCATGAATCCTCTTGACGTACATTTGGAACATCCATGGGGATCATAGTATATCTCTTTGTAGTAGAAAAAAATTAAAAAATTTGTGGATTATTATAGTAGTGGTCAGGTTTCAATGCTGGTATTCCTAGTACTTACTCTGCATTTAAGAAAGCTCCTCCCTTTCCTCTAAGCGTACACAGGCTTTAGAAACCAAATTGCCAAGGCTAGAACAGTATGGCTATTGCCCCACATGGTTTTCTCCAGAACAAATTTAGTAGAATGGTCTGTGTAAAATATGAAAATTGACTGCAGTGTTGCTTCGCCGAGTACATATACTTACAGACTGTACATCTTACTCTCATTGTGTTCATTTTTTTAAATCAAAAGTAAACAGCTATGTTAGAAAAATCTGTTGAGACCAGTACTCTAAAAATCTGATCAAAATGCCAAGACCTATGTGAAACAAATTAAGTGTTATATCAGTTAAAAACCCAATGGGAGTATTAAAAAAGCTGATTATAGCCTTATTTTAGAAAGCTGTTAAAATAGTGGTATATATAAGCTTTACTGGAATGTAGGACAAGTCTCAACAGAAAAATTCTGCTTCTGCTCCACCAACAAATTTCAGAGAGGTGTTCCAGAGCAGCAACAAGCAGCAGATGAGTATTTATTTGAAGACAATCTAGTTATCAAGTCTTGATTCATGAATTAAGGTTTGATGGGGTGAAATATCCTATTGAAAGAACACAGTGTAGAAAGCATATTCTGTCACGGTAGTCTCCTTGAGTTCCAATAACATGGACTCCTTATCTTTGGGGACCTTGCTCCCCAGAGCTGGGGTGGAATAACAGTTTCTTCCCCTTTTCACTATCCTAGTCTCCCCAGGAATCAGAAGTTAATTTATTGTTTGGTGGAGCTTGCTTCCATTGAAGGGCCTATAGGATTGCAGCTTGAAGGTATATACTATGACCAAAACGCATCCCAAAGTTTCTTAAGTCTTTAAGAAGTATCTTGTAGTCACAATAAAAAAAGGTGCTGTGCTTCTTTTATGAGAGATTGCTCTGCTAGATTTTAGTAAGCAGGAATATTGGAAGGATTGCTTGGACTCAAAGAATCAGAATCATAAGGTTGGGAGGGACCTTGGAGGTCCTTTACTCACTTTGGGGTTACAGATTACTTGCTTTGGGGTTATAGATCTCCTGATTTTATGGTGGATCACTTTTAATGGAGCCAATATATATATTTTTTCCACATGTAACAGCCTAATAGTGTGTAATACAATTTTGATGTTCTGTGTATATTTCACTTAAAGCCAACCTCAGACTCAAGTACTAGATGAAGAAATCACAGAAGATGATCTTCGGCTTATTGAAGAGAGAGAATCAGCTATCAGGCAGCTGGAGGTGAGCACTGGGTGGTGAGATCAAGAACAAGATTTTTATTTATCTTAATATTGACTGTGCACTTAAACATCCTGAGTTTGGATGTTTGCTTTTTAAGTTACAAGCTCCTATATTAATGAATTGGTACAGCATATCCAGGACATCGCGTAGCATTATCTCACTTTACAAGATTTTAAAATTTCTGCTTGCTTCATGGATACCAATGTGTCATTAGAATAGTTTTTCATAGTCTTGTATCTTCCAGATCTGCCATAATGTCAACTCCCATTGGGAGTTAGAGTCTGAAGCCTAACACAAATGGCATTCCACAGTTTGGGGTAAATACTGATATAGAATAACATAAGTATGACCCACATGCTTGGCACAAAAGTATGCCCTGCTTTCTCCCATTTATAAAATCCAAAGACTTTGAATTTCATTAAGGTCATGGAACCAGAGGTGCTAAGCACTTCTGTCCCCACTATTGTTGTATCATATAAAAATGTATTAAATAATTGCCTCAGAATTCTTCTACGTTTTGTGTTCTGACTCATGACATGTCTGTGATTTTTAAATAATTTTATTGGAAGAATTAAGCCTAAAATTATACTTTTAAAAAGGTAGGAGTATTGCCAAGATGAACATAGTCGTGTTCATGCTCACGTTCAATATTTGGAACACATTTATTTATTTTATTTTTCATTGTTTTTATTTTTGCCTTTAATTAAACAATATACACACACATATGAAGGTTTCTCATCCATGTGATATTGATTTAGGTGTGTGTAGACAATATCACAGACATACATATTCATTCAATAAGTGATTACCATATTTCACTGTTATCATCCATATATAATCTGTGTTGGTAAGCAACTCATTCATAGTTTTTATACTGCCTTCAAATTTAGGTTCTCCAAGGGTGTTTTAATACAGTTTCTTTGTTCATAGGCAGATATTCTTGACATAAATGAAATATTTAAAGATTTGGGGATGATGATTCATGAACAAGGAGATGTGATAGGTAAGCAAAGGTTAATCTTTTTGTCAACCTTTTGAGAACTTGCTTTTTTTTTCTTTTCTTTTTTTTACCACATTTGGGCAAGGTAGTTAACATAAATGAAATATTTAAAGATTTGGGGATGATGATTCATGAACAAGGAGATGTGATAGGTAAGCAAAGGTTAATCTTTTTGTCAACCTTTTGAGAACTTGCTTTTTTTTTCTTTTCTTTTTTTTACCACATTTGGGCAAGGTAGTTATATTGCATTAGCCTTTGCAGGTATAAATGTTGTAGCAGTTGAGGAAAATCTAGAGTTAATTGGGAAAAAGACCTGCGTTAAGAGGAAATTTGGTTTACCAGGAAACTTAAATGAGGTTGGTTAAAAAGGCTTAGTAGCCTCACGGTCCTTGGCCATGTTATATAGCTGGGATGAGAGTTTTAGCCCAAATTACCTAGAGGGGGGCAGTCAGTTAGGGACTGCCTTGTTCATTTTCAGTATAATATCAGCTGACACGCATGTGCCTCCACGCAACAGCAGGTGCTCTCTTTCATTGGGAACAAGAATATTCAAGGGTTAGAACTTACTGAATAATTCACTAGAACTTTTCAGATTGCCGTGGAGCTTTATTTCCTATATTAGCTTGCAGGGTGTTCAGATCAGGGAGGTATAACGATCAGGATGCATACTGGAATAATACTTGAAAAGAAGAATGTCTAGTTAGAATTTTTTTTAAATGTTCACAGAATGGATGAGCGTTGAAGTTTTTAAAGTCTCTTTTATTGCATTGTTTATACATAGTTCATTTCATAAAATAGATGTGATTATAATACAAGAAGTGACATCCATAAGTAAAAAGAATTACAGTATACGTGGAACTATGCTTCAAAACCACCACCATCATTACCACCACATCAAAGGGCTCCACTAAAATGCCAGTCATGTGCAGATTAATTTTCTCCCCTCCACCCCATAATTTACATATAATTCAATGTACCTTCTCCCCTTTGTAAGTATAGTGTTTGGTCTCCTTCTCTACCTTGATTCTTCGATTCCTATGGTTGGGGATAAAAAACACATTTTCCTGGTATCAGGATATTGTTAAAGTAGGCATTACCAGCAGCATTCTGTATTTGCCCTTGCTTTAATTTAATATATTTTCAAATAATTGTTCTTGGGATTTATCTCAAAAGTTACCAAATGGATCTAAAAATATAAAGTCTCAGAGCAAGATGTCTCTGTATGCACGTTGACTTTAGGGGAAAAGTCATAATGTTTTTTTTCTCCATCCCCAAAGATAGCATAGAAGCTAACGTAGAAACAGCTGAAGTCCACGTTCAGCAAGCAAACCAGCAGTTGTCAAGAGCATCAGCGTACCAGGTAAACATTACCACAAGCAAAAATACTACAGGTGCTCATTTAATAACTGCAAATGGTTCCAACGACTTGGTTGTTAAATGGAATGGTCGCTAAGTGAACACGTGACAGAGAGAGAGAGAGAGAGAGAGAGAGACACTGCAAAGGTCACTGGTTGCTGCTGTATTATTTAGATAAAGTTCTCTCCTACAGTGTCCTGCGCCTGACCTGTTGTTTTTTTTTTACCGCTTTTTGCCCCCTTGCAGGCAGAGAGATTGCTTAAACAAGCTGTCTCTTCCTGAGCTGCTTTTCTCCACAGCACAATGCATCCCTAAAAAGTGCTACCCCCAAGTTAACAAGCTCAGCTTTGTAACCCCTCTGGCTGGCTCAGAGCTGCTGCCTGAAACTGACCAGGCCTTAATCAGTTTCATACTGAAGGCTTTTGTTGTCCTAAATGCAGGCATTGGTCAGAAAATGATTTTTTTGTTACCATTTATTACTGTCATATTTCCGAGTGGTCACAGTCCTAGGCAGTTGCTAAATGAAGTCTACCTGTATTTTAGACATTTTCTATGTATTCTATTAAGAGCTTCAACTTTACATTCTTCTGGCTTTCAAAGGCAATGCTTCCTTGCCTTGAGGTTTTGATGCAGGCCAATGATCTGTGTAGTCTGATTTTTACCACTGTAGCTCAATTCCCTTTTTTTCCTTGAACACTTCAACCTCAATAGTTTGCCTTGAGACTGGCTGGAATGCAGCCAGAAAATGGTAGGAAATGCTTTTAGTGCATGTGAAGGACACAGTTTGCTGCATTTGTTACCCCTTGCTAGCCAGAGTGAATGCGTTTAAGTGCAGTTTAGGGACAGCAGACATCCTTCTCAATGAGACTATGCCATTCCTCAGGGAGATATAAAAACTGCATTCAGATATAAGTTACAGGTAGTCCTTGTTTAGTGACTGCCTTGTTTAGCAACCATTCACAGTTACGACGGTGATGAAAAAGTAATTTTATGACCAATCCTCACATTTATGACCTTCACAGTCTATAAAGCAAAAGAAAGCTGAAGGAAGATCATAAGCACAGTTGCGGTTTCAGTTAGCGACCACTTCGCTTAATGACTGTGTTGCTGGTCCCAACTGGTCACTAAAGAGGACTACCTGTACTCTTATAATATTGTGCCTTTTATTATACTGAGAGCTTAGCAATTATTCAGCCATTGCTATTTCATGGTTCAGGTTATGTCTGGAGTTCAGGTTGCAGATTGGGATGCCTGCATGTCGGACTATTTGCCCTTTGAAAATCTCTGCCTGTGTAAAATGGATGGGCTGGAGTCCTTTTCTTCTCAGCAGTGTTTTTCTGTTTGGAGGGAATCTAGGGCATAAAAGCCCAGGTTGAAACAGGCAAACGCAGCTGTATAAATGCACTGTTTCGGGAGAGCAAGGGGATGATCATCCAGTGATAGTATGCGCATTTCTGTGCCTCTGGAATGTTATACTAATAATGTCCTTTTTTCCCCTTCATTCAGAGCAAGTCCCGGAAGAAAATATGCATCCTCATTCTCATACTTGCAATTGGACTAACTGTCCTTGTGCTAATTATATGGGGAGCATCAAAAGGATAGGATAAATTATGCAAGAGGCTTCTGGTCACGTCCTGTTGTGAAAGCTGTTCAGTAAATGATATGTCAGTCTTGATAATTTCTGCTTTATCACAAGGTGCATTTTTAATCCAAGAGTGCTTTTTCTTGTCTTCTGTATTAGGATTAATTTGAAGTTATCACTGCTATCTAATTCACCAATATTAGCCCTGGGATAGGCAAGTCCTTATATAGTACCTACTTTTCATTTCTTCTCCTCTAGGCCAAACTACTTGGAATGTTGTGTACAAGGGTGTTTTACCTCATTGGATCAAGTGGGTCAACCTTTCACACAAGGATCAAAGGCTTGATAGAGGGTTGTGTGTGGGCTGTAAGTTGTCAAACACCAATTAACTCTATCAATTTAACTGCAACTTTATAGGGACAAATAAATTTTTTTACAAAGGCTGTCTTTCTGATAGAAATTTCATATTTCCCGTCTTTGAGATATCATATGTGTTGTTCATTGATTCATTCCATAAATTAGAGAACGGTCTGCCCATTTTTCTCACTCTGTGTAAAGTTTAGTTCTAATAGGTTCTTGGAGGATGCAGTCTTGTTAATCTTTCCAAAATGTGTGAATTAATTCTGCTGTTTCTCTTTTGCTTAAGAACTTTGTCTTTCTATTGCCACATTTTGATGTATAAACATGGCACTGGGTATCAGCAAACCTGACAAAGTTTCATTGAACAAGAAAGTTTGGGTAATATCAATTTTTGTGTGTAACTTTAAAGTTAAGACTTTGGGACACACTTATAACTAGTTGTTTGCACCTTAATTTATGCACTCATTAGGTGTTTGAAGTTTAAAGGCTATGGGCAAAGTTAATGTGTATAGCTGCTTAACGACAAATTTACCTGAACTTTCTATGGTTTAGTTGCCCATAGTATGCACATAACTCTTTGGAAAACTGTTATTAGTTATGTCGTGGATTACAACTGAATGAAGCAGTGGGAGTTCTGTGTATGGAGTGGGTCATGTATCTGAAATCCTACATTCCTATGTATATTTGTGTCCCAAAGGGTCCCCAAGGGGTGGAGGAAACTTTTAAACGGGGAGTGAAACATAGTGAATCAAATCATCTTGTTCCCTGTTGCATGACCTCAGATTCAAAAGGGAGAGATCTTGCGTAGAGCAATCAGTAACAATTTGAGTTATACTTGAACTGTTTCAATCAACTGCCATTATGAACAGCAGATCTTATATCCAATTTTTAACAAAGCAATTAATCCTCTTTTCCTCAGCATGTTAGTACCTGGGTACTGAACCTTTTGATTTCTGAAGAATTACATACAGTTTAATTGTTTCAAAATGATAGGTTTTTAAAAACTGCTTTTGGGGTGCCATTTTGAGATAACATAGATTTAAAAAGATGTTATTTGCCAGCTAATCAGTTCCTTGCTTTTTTTAAAAACTTACTAAATTGTACTGTATAAATTAAACTTATTAAATTGTACTATATAAATGTTACGTTTTTTGTACAGCAGTTTGATAGAGAAGCAGCATTTACAGGATAAACTCTTAAGACTTAAGATTTGGGGAGAACTAAAGCCAAACCTGGATTATACCATCTAAATAAAGATACCTTAAAAACTGAATACTTTGCTGTTTATGTTCCATGATTATATCTTATGTGTAACCTTTTGAAAGGAGCTAATTATTAAGTGAAACCTCATCCAGAAGAAAGAAGACCAACAAGGGGTAGTAAGGATAACACTGCATCATTTGAATTTACTACAGATGTCCTGCTGGTGGTAGTACTGTTAACATTGCTTCTCTTTTATAGGTGTGACTCTGCCACAAGGTAGTCCTCTAGTCTCAGTGGACCATAGCAAGTGAGATGGAGATTACAAATAAAGATTGTACTTTGTTTAAGTACGATATTTCCCCTAGCGCAGTCAACTATCGTTCTGTTCATCATTTACAGAAATGATACAAAAAAATAATATCACTAAGAACTATCTTGTCTAAATTCCTAAAAGCAAATTTGGGGGTGAGGGGAAGCAGAACCCGTTTTGATTGAGTTCGCTGAACAAATACAGATTTGCCCATAAAGCTAATCTGCGGTCTTGTCCTTGCATCCTGCTTACCATGCCACAAAGGTAACTTATTAATTATTTCTGAGGGACGTGCTCATGACATTGCCTCCGTTTCGTTCTCCACCCACTGGTGAGGCAGTGTACAATCATCTTTAGTTGTTTGGTTGTATTTGGCGCCCTAGGCAAAGTCATATTCTGGCATTCTCTATGGCTTGGCTCAACTTCCAGTTTTGTTAGGAATTTCAAAAAGGCCCTCTCTTGTTTCTTTTTTTTTTGAGTTTTTGAGCTTTACACTAATGATTTTGAGCCCCTGACATTTTTTTTTCTTTTCTCAGACATGTTCACCCTGTTTACTATTTCGCCCTATTTTAATTACATCAGCACCCATTGTTGTCATATAGTAAGAATTCTGCAAAATTATATTTGACTCTCGAGTGAGCATGCTGAGACGCAGACTGTGCCATTACCACTTTTCACTTTTTTATTGTGTATTTTGGAAGTCTTTTCAATTTTGGCACCCCCTAAAATGTAGTGCCCCCGGCAACTACCTAGATGCCTAGGCCTAGAACCACCCCTGCTTAAGTCTCTATGATATATTGAGGCACACAGCCCCCTCCTTTTCAAGCTCAAATTGCCTTTTCTGCTGAGTCTAGAAAAAGAAGGAAGAATATTAAAGCAGCTGTCAGAATGAACCATGTGTAATTCAGAGCCAATGCGTTGCAGAAAGTATGGCAGCAGAACTAGCTCTGCGTGACTCGAACAACAGAATGCAGATAGGAGTGACCAAGAACTTTCACATTTGACATGCCAATCTGAACTGAGTTCCTCCATAAACCAACATTTGACTTTGGTGTACCCTAAAAGGGAAGGGGAAAATGAGCTGTGTTATTTCCAGTTGAAACTGGAAGATTGGAGAAGAAAGAGGAACACTTGTCTCTGTTGTTAAAATATTGCTGGTGGTTTTGTTATTGGCTAACCCAAGAGGCAGAAAAGCTCTAGCTGTGGATTTTTTTAACAAACAATCCCAGTTCTGACTTCTGGCCAATCAACAATTCTGTCAGATATAGTGAAGTGGCTTATTTTGGTATGAATGAGAAGCTTCAGAGCCTCCAACCACAAAAAGTCATCATAATGGAATCCAATCAGAATAAGCATAAAGGTGCCTGGAGGGAGCAAAATGCTTCTGGGCATAATCTATGGCATTCCTGGACTCCTGTCTTATCTGATTTTAATGTTATTTTTACTTACTTACTTACAAGAATGTTGCTGGGCTCCTTTATAAACCATGATGGCATAACAGAAATGGTGGATTGCCATAGCCTACCATCAGGAAAAAAGGCAAATGCAAATTGTAGATTGTTAGAATACCCAGAAAGACCAGATAAGATGGCAGTCAGCAACCTCATTGCCTTCTGGTAATGGGTGCTCTGTGACTTGCCATACCCACCACAGCAGCCATTTTGAAAATCAGCAAGCCCCTGAAATTTATGAGAACACATACAATACCGTTTTAAAATTCTATAGCTGCCAAAAGTTGTGTAGCCCTGAATCACACAAAGAGGTTCTTGTTCCTCTACAATTTTCAGTTGAAGAGGGGACTGCTCCAGTATAATTTGGTTCTTCATACATCACAATAATCAAGGAAGAAATCCCCTACTCTCAAGAAATTCAAAAACTCAAGTTTGAAAATTATTTTAGCCATTCCAGTTTTTCAAACTCTCATCTTGTCACCACAACTCTACTGGAAAAAATATTCCAGAACTTTATACCTTCTCCTAAATACAAGTTAAATGTATTGTGGCCAATTTATAACTACTAGTTCTTGCATATAGATAGATAGCAAAACTAAGGATTGGCCCATCTACACTTTTAAGAGCACACAAGATTGTATCCATTGCTCAGGTAGCCTGCTTTTAAAAAAAAATGATTTGCTGAAGCCAACAAGATAGTTGCTTGGCCTTTGTTGAGTCACTCTTAATGCATGGCTTTGCCATTTGTGGAGTTTTGACTCTGGGTGTCTTTCACATATGGAAAAGTGGAAGTGTGCATTTTATGTAGTCCTTTCAGTGACCTGTGCAGTTCAAGGAGAACAGTTGTCAGTATGATGCATTGTAACATAGCCCAGAGCTTTGCTAAGTCTCCTGCAATTGTCATTATTCTGCCATCCCATGGGGTAAATGTTGTTTGCACACCTTTTACTCATCTAAGAAAGTAATGTCCTGTGCATGTATATATAAAGATCTTCTTCTGTAGTATGGGAGGTAGAAAGAAATAAGAACTACAGAAGAGATGTTGACTTCTTTGGTTTACTTGTATCTTGTGTCCTCCAAAATGTGTCTAAGCAGCATCTGAATCCAGAGCTCCTTAATCTAAATCCAACATTATTCACATCATCATCCATAGGCATGCTGTTAAAATGTGGTTTCTCAACTTGTTGACTAACAAACAATTGGTTTATTATTTGTTTTCTAACAAACAATAAACCAAAAAACTAAATTAATGTGGCTTCCAATTTTTTCCCCAACCTTCTATGCTATAACTTGTACAATTCCAACTGCAAGAACTGCTTCCAAATGACTTTGTTTTCTTTAGAATACTTCCTTGGTGTTTTCCTTTGCACATACATGACAAAAGAATAATCAAACTGCCTCTCACTCATAGATACTTCAGGCTTCTTTTTGAGTGTCAGCTTCATTGGTAGGCAAGACTTGTTTTGACTAGTTTAGAGTTTATATGCATTAGGGTTTAAGGGTTTTTTTTTTTTTTTCAAAGAGCACCATTTGATTTCAACACAGTAAAGCCTCAGCCATTGCGTTTTAGTTAAGAGGAATTTGCATCAGTTTGCTTAAATACCTAGCCTTTAATGTGAGAAAAATAAAAAGATGGGCTGAAACAATATTTTAGACTGCATAAAAAGTATCAAGATTGTAAAGAGTTTCTAGTATCTTACAACCCGAAGAAATAATTTCATGCTTGCTTGGAGACAGTCAGCTTTAGATGAAGATATGATGCTAATGGTATTGACTATTTTTAAGAGAAAGCAGACCCTTTAGTGCACTTACGGTCTCAACAAGAAACGTGGCATCAATGTGTACAAGAAAAAGAATCCCATGTGGCTACATATTTTTTGGACTTTGAGGGCAGGGAGGTTACAGAGATGTTTTTCTTGCAGCAGTAATTACTGAAGCAAAAAAATAATAATTTCAGAGAGCCCTATGTGTGCAGGCCTCACCTGCAGAAACACAAAGCTTCCTTGTGTTGTGGCTTATGGGCGGAGTTAGGATAAAATTCTGTGGTCTGAAACAGACTTTTTTCTGGTGCATTGTCAGCCAAATTGCAATCTGGCAAAAGCAAGATTCATCAAGGTGAGGGTTATCAAGCAGTGCTAACTCTTCACAACAATCAGTGGATATAATGGCATCTGGATTTAGTGCACAAACATTTAGAGACAGATTACTGGAATGAAAGAGGAACACTTCAATAATTGAGCAGGTGTTTATTATGTTTCTTAAAGGCTAGTTAAATCCATTTTTCCCAACTTTTTAAGCACTGGTGAAGTAATCAGGACTCTAGCCATGTCTTGCTCCAGTTTTATTCCTGTCACTTAGGATGTAAGCTCTGTTTTTCATCATTTCTTAACTATTCTTTGTCTTTTACAGTGCAGGTACAAACTGGAATGGGGATGTATATCTTAACTAGCTAACAATACAAAATCAGGGTTTTGGGTTGGCCCAAAGGGTTGGCCAGTCAGCCATGATCCAATTTACAATATAAATCAATTTATTTTAAGCTTTGATTAAATAAACATGTATGTATGCATGTACAGAGCTTCAATGAATGTTCACTAATTAATTTGAAGGCATTGGATTCAACAAGTTGAATTCAAGATGTGATTTGAAGTGACAGTTTAACTGAATCGTGTTCAAACTGAAGCTTCACATTGAAGGTATAGACAGTCCTAACTGGATCTATATAATGGGTAAGCAGTGAGAGGACTGAAACATTTTTGGTAGGATTTCTTAGGATTTTTAAATGATCAATATGTTTTCCTTGGCTGATGTTAAGAGAATAATCACCATGTGTGAGAGTGGCAATCTTCTGCACAGTTCCGTGTGAATGAGTCTCGCTGATTTAATCAGATACTGCTGAATAAATAAGCAGAGAGTTGGACTGTAAGTCAGCCATGAATTTTATCTATCTGAGAACCCAGATAGAAAAGTCACTTTTTGTGAGATGGGTGGCCACGTAAATTTGATTGATAAATAAATAAATAAATAAATAAATAAATAAATAAATAAATAAATGTTTTGATCAAAAGCATGCAGCTGTGGTTGCTCTGTTCTTGATATCATAATTTACAACCTTAAGTTCTTAAAAAACAATTGGTTTATTATTTGTTTTC